AATTATTAAATGTCTAAATATATATTTATAATGGCATAGCTAACATACTATTTATTTCATTTTATCGGTTTAGTCATATCCGTACTGCCGTACCGTACTGCCGTAGTGTCACACCGCCGCGCCGTTAGTACTATTATTTTCGTGTTTTATTATTATTTTAAAAATGTCCGCTAAAAAGCGTAAAATCGAAGACGAAAATAGAATTTTTAACAGCTTATGGGAGAATGAATGTTTATTTATTATTAACAAACAAAAAAAACCTCAATGTTTGCTTTCTCCTATACACTGCGGCCCGCTAGATTTTAAAGTATTTTAAAAGTGGCACGCTAGTTACTTTGAGTTGCCCATCCCTGCTATACGGGACGGTTGCTCAGAGCGAGTGTAGTTTAGGACGTGAGCGGGAAAGCAGAGAACGACAAAGAAAAAAATCTTTTTTTAAAAACGTAATTTGCGCGATGTTTTGATTACGCTCACGCAAACACTAATCAGCTGTACAGCTGATTGCGGCGTCGCCGGTACGGTCCAAATATAACGTAATTAGGTCAACGTACTCGGCGGCGGCGGTGAAACCCATTTGTTTCGTAYGCGCGCGGCGGCTGCTTAAGTAAAGACGGCGGCGGCTTACGACGACGACAGTGATACCGGTTTGTATGTTGTACAGGTACGGTGTCCAATGCGCGACCTGTCGCCGCGACCAGTTATAATTTTCAGTCGCTGATGACCGACTGGTGTCCAATGCGCGACCGATCGTAGTTAAAAGGTAGGTACTCGATTCTAATTTTCGTCAGTAGCACGCCGATGTCTATCTAAGGTTGACGTAAAACGGTACCAACATGTCCGATAATGAGTTGCTGTGTATTTTGAATAATAATAAATTAATTATAAACTTAATAGAAGATGAATTGGAAGATAATGAAATATTATTTTCGTATTTGTTGCCTAAAAAAAGGAAACCAATTGATTCCTTATTTTTAAACCACGTTTCAAGTCATACTTCAATAATGAAGGCTCTGTACCATGGCAATTTTGTAAATAATTAAATACTTTTAAATATTTTATAATAATAACATTTTATTAAAATACTTTTTAAAGTTATAAATAACACTGTACCTTTTAGTATACATTTTTAAGCATAACAACAATATTTGTATTATATCTTAGTGATTACAAATATAATTTTTTTTTAAATATCTGTTTTTGAATAAAATAAAATAATAACCTTCAATCTTGAACAGTACAGTAATAATTACATAAGAATAGTTAAAAATTAATAAACAAATAACAAATCTATTCATATAATACATTTTCATCAAAATTGTATGTTGTAAAACCTTGTGAGCTTTCAGATGTACCGTATGTTGAAGTTGATGCATTTGAAGGTGACATTTGTATGGAGTTTTCATTTGGTTGATTAAAATATCCTTGAGCTGTAAAATTTCTTGTTGGTTGTGCAGCATATTTTTCTTCAGCTTCAGCCACCAATGCTAATGTTTTCATTTTTACTTTGTTGATACCTTTAGTAGGTAACTTCTTCACAGTCATGGCCAAACTTTTGAAAAATAAATCTATATCATCATCCTCATTCATTTTTCTATTTAAAATTGTCTCATTTTGARACTGGATAGCTGCTATTAACTTTTTTTGTTCTTCATTTCTTGTTGCAAGGAGGACTGCCAACTTGTCCTGCTTCGATCTTATACGTTGTGGACTATCTTTGGTTTTTTCGTTTTCTTCAGTTATTCCTCCGTCAAACTCATCCCCCATTCCTCTGTCRAGTTCTCCTTCTTCATGTAGTACTGTTGCGCTTTCAGTTACACTTATATTTGATGAAGAACTAAATACAAACAAATATATACAAATATATACAATTTGTTAAGTATTGTATTAAAATGTATAAAAGCCTAATTAGTAATCACCTTCGTTCGTGTTGAACTTTATCTAGAAAAGATACGTGTGCTGCCAAAGGCCACTTTTTTTTAGCGATCTTTCAGAACCCGTRCCCAATTTTCTTTTATTACGATTGTAAGAATCTCTGATATTTTTCCAACGCTTTTTGCAATCTTCGACTATAAAATTGTAATATACAATAATTATTCGTTTTATATTGTACAGGAATAACCAAAATAATACAAAAAACATACACCATGTATAAAACAAACATATAATAATTTTAAACTATGTAATACGTTTTCTTTATCAGCTGCCATTGACACTTGAGTCGGCCGATCACAATAAAATATAAATATACGAGTACATATTGGTATAATAATAGAAAATGGTTAATAACATAACTATAAATAAATGTGGTTAAGTTTACGCCACTGTGTTTATCACATCTCATCACMAGTCAAAATAGTGAATTGTCAATCAGTGGCGTAGCCAGCGAGTAACGAGACGGTAATATAAGTTGTTGTCGGATAGATATGCTTGCGATTGTCGATTAGTTTAATACTAATCGCACTGCTTCACTGCGAACGCCTTTAGTACAACGTAGTGACTAGTGATTATATTTCGSTTTTATTTTTACKTAGTCCGTCGCGTTGCTCATTTTCGAAAAATGGAACGTTTTTTAATCACATCAGGTAATTCAAAATCAACTGCTGTTTCAACTGTTTCGGAACCTAATGACCCTGGATCAAGTRCGCGTACTCCAATATCAGATACAGATATACAGTTGAATTCAAACATTTTTGATATTAGTGTAACTTGTGAGGATACCGCTGTACAACCTGTCATCAGTTTTCCTCGTACTTTAATATCTGGGAAGCAACGTAGCTTTCAAAGCAGTTGGTACAATAAGTAYCCRTGGTTGGAATACTCAATTAAGATGAATGCCGTATTTTGTTATTATTGTCGTCATTTTCCTTCTYATTCGCAAATTGAAAAAGATGTTCTAATTACTGGTGGATATTCTGATTGGAAAAATATAAGTAACATGACTAAAAAACATGATAATACTACTTCACATAAAAATGCAATTGCTAAATATGGCGCATGGCTATCAACCAAAAAAAATGGATCAGTTTCGACTCAAATAAATAAACAAGTCAAGGAGCAAGTTATAAAAAATCGAGCTATTTTAACAAGTGTAATAAGGTGTGTTTTATATTGTGCACGGCAAGATATTAAGATATTGGACTACGAGAACATCGAAGAGAAAGAAAAGAAGAATTCAATAGTGAAAATTATGATGCAAGTTTGTGTTCACGTCATGACGTAAATGAAGGTAACTTTTWWGAAATTATAAAATTACTTTCCATCGAAAATGAACATTTTAAAACAAATTTTAATTTATTACCTAAAAATAGCAAATACATATCGCCTGAAATACAAAATGATATAATAAAAGCTACTTCAAAGCTTGTATTACAATTAATAGTAAATGAAGTTCATATTGGGAGCCAGATATTTAGTTTAATTGTAGATGAGGCTAGAGATCAGTCAAAAATTGAACAAATGAGTATTTGTATTAGATATTTGCACGATTTAAAAATTAAAGAAAGATTTTTAGGTTTTGTCGAATTGAAAGATWTAAATGCTCAAGCACTGTGTGATGGCATAATATTTTTTTAAAATAATGTTGGTTTAGATGTTTCAAATTGTGTAAGTCAATCATATGATGGTGCGTCAGTAATGTCCGGAGCTTTTTCTAGTGTTCAAACAAAAATAAGAGAATTAGCACAAAATCCATGCCCGTATATTCATTGTCATGCTCATAKGTTAAACCTAGTTCTAGTTGATGTAACGAAAAATATTCAAGAAGTAGATGAAATACTTGGTTTATTAGAAGCTATTTATGCATTCCAATCGGTATCTACAATTCGCCATCATGCTTTTTTACATGAAACTAAGTTTAAAGTACCACAACATTGTGAAACAAGGTGGGTTTCAAAACACAAGGGTATTACATTTAAAAAAAATCATTTTATTGATATTTTAAAAGTTCTTAATGCATTTAGAGAAAGTACTAAAAAACAAGAAGCTGCAGAGGCAAAGGGGTTGGCCATACAGTTTGCTAAGTTTGAAGTTATCATAATAATTGTGTGCTTAAACGAAATATTAAATATCATTAATTGCTTATCAATTAACCTGCAATCAACTACTCTTGATATAAAACGTTGTACATTTTTAATTAATGCAACAAAGCAACAAATATTAGAGTTGCGTAATAATGAGAAGTTTTTTGAACTATATGAGCAATCATTGGTTATTGCTCAAAATTCTAAAATACCTACGCAATCAAGTGATAATTTGTCATCAAATAGAACTCGGCAAAATTCAAGTACTTTGGCCGATTATTATGTAACTATTACCACTGGTAAAAGAATGGCTTATTCATCTGATGACATGAAAACAGAGCAAAAAAKAATATTTTTTAATATTTTAGACGTAATATATTTCGAAATGAACCGGCGTTTTAATACAAATGATGATATGTATGCAACTTTAGAAGCTTTAGACCAAAATTCATCAACCTTTTTAGACAGTGAAATAATTTKTCGTTATGCTGAAACATTTMCATTTTATCGATCAAATGAATTTATTACCAAATTAAAATACCAATGTCAACTGGGAAAAACCTTATTTTTATCTGTATCTGATATTTTTGAATTATATCAAGAAGTAAAAAAATACAAAGTTGGATTTGAAGAATTAACAAAAATTATTGAAAATGTTTTGGTAATTCCAGTATCTAGTGCCTCAGCAGAAAGGAGTTTCTCGACGATGAAAATAGTAAAAACATATCTAAGGTCAACGATGACAAGTAGCAGACTAAATAATTTAACTTTGCTGTCTATTGAGAGAGAAATAAGTGGAAAATTCATAGAAAATCCATCTGCTGTAATTGACGAATTTGCATCAGTGAAAAAAAGAAAATTGGAATTTTCAATCTAAAACTATTTTAATAAAGCTATACCTATATCTTTTTTATTAATTTAATTTTTTACTTTTAGTTGTACAACATAAAATAAATCCGTGTGATATGCCTATAATAAATGTATAATATACGGTATTCTGATACWTTTTTATTTTATAAAACTATTCATTAGTTATCCTTACATCAAAATATCGGGCCTACCCAGAAAAAAGTGTCTAGCTACGCCACTGTTGTCAATGTATTTATATATTTGTTGACACCGGCGACCAGGGCAATGTTATACATGTTTGACAACCCGTCGTGGCGTTGAACGTGTTAAACATAATTATTATTAAATATATTGTATAAAATTATATAATTAATATCATATAAAAATATAAATATTATCATTATTAAGTATTAATTGTTTATTGTATTTGTTGTACACAGATTGTAAATAGGTAGTCGTTATTCTTATTTAAATAAAAAAAAATATTATCTACTTACCAGACATTCCAATTTTTTGGGAAATTTCTTTCCATTTTGCATCTTTAACTATTAAATTAAAATATTGCATGTGTGAACAGTCATAAAGCTCTGGATATTTACGCACAGATTCAATAAAAAGTTCATCTTCTTGTGATGTAAATGCTATAGCCGACATATTGACCGCGAGAACGAATCGTCGACGCGTCGCACTACACTGCTCTCGTCGCGGTATTGTCGCGGGTAGGACACCAGTCAATGGGAAACGCGAATAATCGGTAGAGCGCGACAGGTCGCGCATTGGACACCGTACCTTACCCGTACGCTGCGCTATTTTCGGCAGTAATTTTTGTGGGATGAAGAGGTATGCGTTGCGGAGGGGTGGTGTTTGTTATATAACTACTTCCCGATCCGTATCACGGTTATGCCCAGTCGCGTGGAATTCCCTGTTACGTACTATATTAAGTTGTTACRTAATACTAACTTGGATATCCTAGCTTACTGGCAAACACACTCCTGGTTAACTATCATAATACTAATGTAATATAAGCAATTTCCCGAGGTATGTGTCAGCGTGAAAACCTTTCCGCTGTCTTGAGGTTAGGTTCACTTGGTGGATTCCTCTGCGGGGAGCCAATTTGACGCGGCTTCGGCGGCGACGATGAAGGTGGTGATCCGCGGAAGACCGGTCGCTAACGTATGGTGGTGAGGTTGGTGTGACGATGTAAAAAGAAAGAACAAACAACACAGTTGGTCACTAATAATGATGAAAATGTGGGATTACCACGTTTATTGCTTTACGATAGAATTATGTGCGTATGATTGACGTAAAAAGTGTCGGCGGGTATACGTCGGTGTGTATCACACGGATATCGGTGAACGAGAGAGAGCCCGGCGGCGGCCGGTACTCGTCAGAACAAAATTAGATAAAACACGAAATGGGTATTCATTATCAACTTCTTTATTTTTAAGATTTACCCAAAACTCCTCAACATTAAGTGCTTTCAGTTTAATAATTTATTCAGGTTCTAATTCAACAGTATTAAATTTTCGCCAACCATCATCAATTTCCTGAATATTATATTTATTAATTAATCTAGGAAATAATTGGATAACTGATATAAATGAGTTCGGGCGATTATTACTTAAAACTTTTTTGGGGTTTAAATCATCTAAAGACTTAAGTACCGGATTATCGAAGTCAAACCTCATTTTGATTACTATACTTACTATACTTTATAAATTCGATGAATAAAAATATTTAAAATATCTATAAATAGGTACATTGATATGATCATTGTTTACTTTTGAATTATTCTATAAATATCGTATATTTCCCACCCTATCAATGATTCTGGTGGGGGATCGTATAGAGACTCAAAAAATCGTATTTCCCCATCAAGATCGTACCATCTGGCAACAATGAGTCTCAGTCACACCGGCACGACTTGTCTTCTCGTCCCGCCTAGCCTTTCCGGCGTGGAGGGAGAGTCGACGATGTCGTGGTGGTGGTTGATAAAGTCGTAGCTCGGTCTCGACGGTGCCTGTACTTTGTACTGGCTGCTGCTGCGTACCGTGTCAACCACGAGCAACCACTTCAAACGTATCAGTATCACAGATTCACGAAACATCGATCACTGATGAAGATTATGAGCCGGGTGAGTCTGACAGTGGAAATGTAACTTCCCCAACGCAAATGCCACCACCTAAGAGAACAACCAAACGGAAAGAACTAACAGAAGATGTGGCTGCGGTACTTGGCTATCTTGAAAAAAAAAATAGAAATAAGACTCATACAAAACTCGATCACATTGACAATCTCTTTTTGTCGTATGCACATACGTTTAAGACATTTTCGCCAAGAACGCAAGCTATCCTTAAAATGGAGATGTCACAGTTATTTGGACGAGCTGAACTTAATGAGGTTGACGGTCATAATTCAACACGCTCCTCTCCAATGTACTCTACAACTTCGTCTTGGTCTGATGTCAACTCAAACCAAGCTGCTGAAAATGACACTGATAATACTATTCAAGCACTCAACTATTCCAACGTATACACAGATGTCTACACAAGAGAAGCTGATAATGATACTCGTGATAGCATTCAAGGACTCAATTATTCAAACATACATACACACCCCAAATCAACAAATTCTTTGGTACTAGGATCATACCCGGTTCGTACTCAGTCGACTAAAGATTTGTATGAAAACGTATCAATGTTTCTTGATACACAGCCGAAAAACAATTACTAAATTTATTAAAATTAAAATTCATTTTTATGTATATTTAAAAATACTATTTACTTAATTATAAGCAAAATGTATTCTTATGTCATTCATTATTTAAAATACAAATTTTTTTATAGTTCATATACCTAGTTCATGTATATATTTTATAAAGACTTATTTACCTCAAACAAATTGCAAGCCTTTCTTTTGTCCCAATAGGGATCTAGGACATTTTGGCGCGGCCGTTTTGGCGGGAAGCTATTTTGACGCGAAGCTATTTTGGCGTGAAGCCATTTTGACGGAGTTAAAGACTTTATTTTATTAAAATTATTATTTATTTAATTTAAAAAACTCAAACATTTAAAAAAATTCTATTAATTAAAAAATACAATCGATAGCTGATAATARAGCTGAAAAACTTACTAAAAAAATATTATTATTGTAAAGAAATATTATGTGCTACACCTCTTAAATAGGTTAAAATGTCTCGAGTATCTGATTCTTGTACTATTTTTAGCAGTCTCTTGTCCGTGTCAATATATTTTTTGAGCTTTTTAGGGGGACTTCTTCCTGATTCCAGTTGAAATAAATATGTATCCCTTCCAGCTTGAATTTTTCTTAAACAAGTTATAAATGACCATAATGTAGGATGGACCATTCCCATTTCAACATTTATTCAGCAGGGGTTGAAGTTCTTCTGGTAAATTTTCAGCCAACGCGTCGATTGCTATGTCAATTTTGTTGATGCAAACAAATGCAATTGCAATTATCATTTTAACAGAAATAGAAAAATCTGCATCGTTATTATATTTTGATATAAGATGCAGTTCACCAATTTTTTTTTTTWAATTTTTTGTGAGATGAAAAAACAACCATGAATAATAATATTTGGGAAATGTTTTTTCACTGCATTTATAGCAGCTAATTCATAGTCTAATGAAATAGATGTAGGACATAATTCAGGACATAAATTTATCAACATTTGAAACAGTTTTT